TTTTACAGGAATCTTATTTCCACTGAAGCAAATAATATTTCTACAACTACACTCTGAAAAGTTCTTTAGCGGGTGCCACCTTTAATTTTATTTTTCTTTCACATTTTTTTTTTAAAGTCAGTGCCAGCACTCTTGCTGTAATAAAACAGGCATGAGCTTTCAGACAGGAATTTCAGCACCCATGTCCATGTTAGGTACTACTCCTTTCACTAACCAATAGATGAAATCAGTAATATATTCTCAGGGCCAAAAGGATGGAATAAAAGAGTTACAGGAGAGGGGACAAGTCAGATCACAAAGAAAGTGATGGCTGCCATATTTGGTAAACTAGACATCTAATGGTACATTTGAAATTCAAATAAGAGCTTTCGCTTTAAAAAGGTGGGGGCAGGATAGCTAATGCAAACAGATGAAGACACAAAAAAAGCACAGGGTTTAGCCTCTGTGTTTAACAATGCACTGTGCCACAAGGTGTGACCCTCCAGGCCCCAAATCCCACCCCCCACATCGATTCAGTTCCATTGGTGAGCGGTGCAAATATAAATACACACACGGTGTGTACAAGCACTAATAAGCATGTATTTAATCAAGCTCCCTAAGACAAGCCGGTGCCTGATGAGAATGTCAAGGCGAGGTGCATCCCATCCCCTGAGGGCCAGGGAGGCGAGGAGGGAAATCATTAAGGGCTCATTATGTTCGAATTTCACAACACTATCTGCAAGATGGACTCTATCACCCCCTTGCTCCATCCAAGGGAGAGGCAGCGGCGGAGGCAGGCCCCAGGCAAGAGCATGCGGATCAGTAGGGTAACGGCTGCTGTAAGAAGCAGCACAGAGGAGGGCAAAGGGAAGCGAAGCCACATCCTCGGCGCGCGCGTGTAAATTAAAGCCCAGCATCTCGTCTGTGTGTGTGTAAATTAAAGCCAGCGTCTGTGTGGGGGGAAGGGGGGATTAAAGCCAGTGTCTCCGGCACCTGCCTGAAATGTCACACTTCCAGGTGGAACCCACCCGCAGAGACAGCCAGCCCACACAGCGGAGAGCGAGCAGAAAGCATGTCAGAGGGACACACACACACACACACACACACTCTCGCGTGCACAGATGCTGGCCGCCCAGCAACGGGGGATATGACACATCTGCTGTGCAACAAGCCCGGACTTGGCCCCACACTGCCCCACGGACACCAAAAGCCGGCTCGGGATCTGCATCCCACCCCCCTCGGCAGCTACGTGCCGAGGTTCTCCAGCGCGAGGGAGGGGAAGCGGGGGAGTGACAGGTTGTAGCGAGGCAGATTTTGGTTCCCCTCCTTGGATCTTCAGAAAGCATCTCACACACACACACACACACACACACTGCTGCTCTGTCTCACACAGTGTTGCTCTCTCACACACATACACACACTGCTGCTCTCACACACACGCACGCGCACCCATAGCTGCAGCCGAATCACACTGGCAAAGCCGAAGAAACTCCCCCCCCCCCCCCCACCCCCCCTCGATACCAATG